GAAGAAAGAGGGAGAGGGAGGGAGGAGGAGGAGGAAGAGGAGAAAGGTGAGGAGGAGGAGAAGAAAGAGGGAGAGGGAGGGAGGAGGAGGAGGAAGAGGAGAAAGGTGAGGAGGAGGAGGAGGGAGACGAGGAAAGAGGGAGGGAGGAAGGAGAGGAGAAAGGTGAAGAGCAGGGGGAGAGGAGGGGGAGGGAGGGAGGGGGGAGGAGGAGGAAGGAGAGGAGGAAAGGAGGAAGGAGGAAGAGAGCATAACGATTTTTCAAAGGGAAATTATGAGACCGTCATTCAAGCCTCTCCATGCAATCCATCCCTCTCCAAGGCAAGACAGCACTGACCAAAGGAAAAAGGGAGTCTGCCATGACAAATTTAAAACGACATAAAAGCTCATGTTTCCATGCCCAAATTGCATTAGGGGGATCAGATAAACGTAATGAGGCTAGACAAGTATTTGGGCTGCACAATAATTAGGGGAAGTCAATTAAATATTACAAATAATTGTATCAATGTCCTCCTAACCAAGAAAAATAACCCTACGGACTGCTGAAATCCGAACTAATGCCGCCCCCGTGAAAGAAAGGGGATCAAGCCGGATGGCTGAGGGTTGGCAAAATCTGATCAGAAGTGCATTAACAAGAATGCAAGGCAGATTTGGTTAATTAAGAAGCTCTCTCTGGTTGCCCAGAACACCCAACAACAATCCTAGAGGGCTGGGAAGGATCCCATTAGCTGTGTCGGAAAAATCGTTTTTGTTTCCACAGATCCTACAGTTCCCTTTTTTGGAACTTCGGTGTGTGTGTGTGTGTGTGTGTGTGTGTGTGTATTTCACAGGTAGACCAGAATAGGCCTGCAAATCTCACCTGCATAAATAGTCCTCACAAAAGTATCGGCTGACTTGATTTCAGTGACGTCTGAGATAGGAGCAACATCCAACTTAGCTGCCACTCTGGGAAGGAGATTCTAAACATTAAAAATACACCGACAGTCACAACTCGGCAACCTCCAGACAAAACTAAGCAGCGGTTCAGAATTCTACCCGGAAAATTAAAGATACATTTAAAGAAGCATATTTAGGTCTTCGGGGTGACACAAACTCCATTAAAACGAGGCAAGGTTGATGGACTGAAAGCACATGCAATATTTTGGGAGTGCCATCCGGCCCTCTCAATTCCTGGCAAATAGATGGGGAAGAAATGGAGGTAGAGACAGATTTTATCTTCCTGGGCTCCAAGATCACCTCAGATGGGGCCTGCAGCCAAGAAATTAAAAGACGCTTGCTCCTGGGGAGGAAAGCTATGGCAAATCTAGACAGCATACTGAAAAGCAGAGACATCACCCTGCCAACAAAAGTGCGTATAGTCAAGGCCATGGTTTTCCCAGTTGCAATGTATGCCTGTGAAAGATGGATCATAAGAAAGGCTGAGCGCCAAAGAATGGAGGCCTTTGAACTCTGGTGCTGGAGAAGGCTCCTGCGAGTTCCCTGGACTGCAAGGCGATCAAACCGGTCAGTCCTAGAGGAGATCAACCCTGATTGCTTTTTAGAAGGCCAGATCCTGAAGTTGAAACTCAGGTACTTTGGCTACCTAATGAGAAGGAAGGACTCCCTGGAGAAGAGCCTAATGCTGGGAAAGATTGAAGGCAAGAGAAGAAGGGGACGACAGACAATGAGGTGGCTGGATGGAGTCACTGAAGCAGGAGGCGTGAGCTTAAATGGACTCCAGAAGATGGCCTGGAGGAATGTTGTCCATGGGGTTGCGATGAGTCGGACACGACTTCGCAACTAACAACAATTTACAGTTCGTCCTTAACTTACTGCTGCTTGCTTAACAACCATTTAAAACTATAAAGGACCCTCTGAAATTTATTTACAGCCTAGTTCCAAAGTTATGATGACGACAAGCAAAGTCAACGGGGGAAGTCAGATTCGTTTAATGACTGCGTGATTCACTTAACAACTGTGGCAAGAAAGGTCATAAGATGAGGGAAAACACAACCACTATCTTGCTTAGAAGCAGAGCTTATGGTTGCTAAGTCGAGGACTATGTGTATTTCAGGTTTCGGCAACAATATGACCCACACCGAACAGCCGCTGAGTTTGCTCAAAGGTTGTAAAATCAGGCCTGGTCACCCAATGACCTGCTTTACGACAGTCTAGCGGCTACGACCAAAATTGCCAGAACTTAATTACAGTCATAAAGTTGAGGACTACCTGTATGTAATGGTTCAGGGGTCTTCAAACTTGGCCCTTTGATGACTTGTGGACTTCAACTCCCAGAATGCCTCAGCCAGGCACGTGTGCCTGGCTGAGGAATTCTGGGAGTTGAAGTCCACAAGTCATCAAAGGGCCAAGTTTGAAGACCCCTGTAGTGGTTCAATGTCTTTAGAGCAATGGATTCCTGGGTAATTTAAAAAATGCTCACCTTCCCAAAGGCAGATGCTCCGGCACAGATGTGCGTGTAACTGAACTGTTTCTGGGTTTCCAAAATCAGCGGTGTCAGCTCCTCTGCAGAAAAAAAATATAATGGCCGGAGCAATGTTATTTTTTTTCTTTTTTGGGGAGGGAGGGGGGAGAAGACAGATTGCAAAGAATCTTAATGCAAAATTCGCCTGGAAAAAAAAAAAAGACTCACCAGCCAGAAGTCCTTTATATGCATCGTGTTGGGCAAAAAGCACCTTGGAAACTCCAGGTATTTTGCTCAGCTCTTGTGCCACCTGTGAGAAGTAAGACTATGACGTCAGTCATCCCCAATTCCCAGAATTCGAAGCTGTCTCCAACATCTGGAATGTTAGATTACTATTTGTACAGTGTTTGATTATTATTTGTATTGTAGTATTTGTGTGGACTTCAAGTCTCAGAATTTTCCAGCCAGCCAGCCGTGCCAGCTAGGGAATTCTAGGAACTGAAGTCCATACATCTCAAGAATTGCCAAGGTCCAGGGCAGGGGTAGGCAACCTTGGCTCTTTTATGACTCATGGACTTCAACTCCCAGAATTCCTGAGCCAGCCATGCTAGCCCAGGAATTCTGGGAATTGAAGTCCACAAGTCATGAAGGGGCCATAGCTCCCCCATGCTGGCTCAGGAATTCTGGGAGTTGAAGTCCACAAGTCAGGAAGGAGCCAAGGTTGCCTACCCTACCCCTAGTCTAGGTTGCCTTTTAGAGACTGAGTGCCCAAACTGCAACCCAAAACCCATTTATGCATCATCGAGTGCTGGGTGGGTGTGGCCCATTGGCTGGGTGTGGCCCATTGGCTGGGCGTGGCCAATTGGGTGGGCGTGGCTGCAGTGGTAACGGCAGACTGGGTGGGACTAAAAAGTTCAATCAATCAATTCCAACTTTGCAAGAACTTTTTTTTTCCCACGAGAAAATGATGCTGGCGAAAAAATAATTACATGGGGGGATGCAGAACTGTAATTAAGAGCATTTTCTCAACTTTAAGACACGTGGACTTCAACTCCCAGAATTCCATGATGGCTGGGGAATTCTGGGAGTTGAAGTTCTCAAGGTTGAAAAACATTGAATTAGAGCTTGGATATTCTTAATTCTTTCAGTCCTACTCAGATATCTTAAGACAACTCCAACATTATTATTTTTTTAAATTTCTGTACTTAACTTTGAAAAAAACTCACATCAAAACTAATTAGCATTTACATCAGCAAGCTATCAACAACACCAACTCCCTGTGTCAGCCCCCCCTTTTTTTTTAACCTTTTCACAACTGGTCCCCGCTACTAAACAGGACACTTCACCCCCAAGTCGTTTTGCCGCAGTAATGGTGTTCAAAGTAATTGGTGTCAGGGTCTCATTGGCGTGCTCAGCAATTACTAGTGTACTCTGAAACCGGTGAAGTAACAAAATCTGGAAAAGAAGATAAAGAAGGGAGAGAGGGAAAAAAAGCAGTTTGATTAACACAAAAATATCTGAAATTCTGCACAGACAAATAAGATACGCTGCAGATTTTAGCATTCATTTATTGCTTTGTCTCATCAATAGCTGCAATTGTTTTGTAGACAGATGCTTGTATGCTCAGCATTTACAAGCTTAAAACAAGATCTACTGCTTTCTGCCAGAATCTATTTGTGAAGGCTTTTCCATACCCCAATATCTTTGGTATCTTTTACATCATTTCCATCATCCCAAATCAATCCACTGCAGGGTGATTACGGTTATGAACCATGGAAGGTTGCTGTAGCATAATCCACCATGCTAATAGTATGAGTTAATACATAAGTGTTTTCAACATCCCAATTTATATTGAGACTCTAGGTAGAGTACAAAGAAGAGCAACAAAGATGATCAGAGGACTGGAGGCTAAAACATATAAGGAACGGTTGCTGGAATTGGGTATGTCTAGTTTAATGAAGAGAAGGACGAGGGGGGGACATGATAGCAGTGTTCCAATATCTCAGGGGCTGCCCTAAAGAAGAGGGAGTCAAGCTATTCTCCAAGGCGCCTGAAGGCAGGACAAGAAGCAACGGATGGAAACTAAACAAAGAGAGAAGCAACCTAGAACTAAGGAGAAACTTCCTGACACTTAGAAAAATTAACCAGTGGAACAACCTGCCTCCAGAAGCTGTGAATGCTCCAACAATGGAAGTTTTTAAGAGACTGGACAGCCATTTGTCTGAAATGGTATAGGGTTTCCTGCCTGAGCAGGAGATTGGACTAGATGACCTCCAGGATCCCTTCCAACTTTATTATTATTATTGGGGGGGGGGGGAACGCCAGGCCAAAATTCACCTAAGCATCGTCCATACCTAAAGGACAATCAGAATTTGTATCTCCTTGTTCCTAATCCATGGCATCGGACCTGGATATCTCCGAGACCGCCTTCTGCCGCAGGTTACCTCCCATCGGCCGGTACGCTCCCACAGAGTGGGTCTCCTCAGGGTGCCGTCAGCCAGACAGTGCCGGCTGGCGACCCCCAGGGGGAGGGCCTTCTCGGTGGGAGCCCCCACCCTCTGGAACGAACTACCCCCAGAGATCCGGGTGA